ATGTTTATGTGTGATATCATTGAGATATCAAGTTAATGTTTTGTTTTTGTTAAATTAAATATTAAACGTTTTTAATGATTTTAATGATTAAGTGAAATCTGTTCATCACGTGTGTGTGTGTGTGTGTCACACATGTATTATGTGTGTAAAGTGTTGAATGTGTGTGTGTGTGTGTGTAACGCTCAGTTGACAGTTTAGTAGATATGATAATCTGTTATTGATTTGACACTGATCAGTGTTGTTGCTTCAACGATGAATGTTGTGTCCGTCTTTATTAACACGCCCCCTAATGTGTCCTCCTCTGACCTCTCTCTCTCTCCTGTCGTTCGATCTGTAGCTCTTCCACACTCATAAGGTAACAAACTAACTCCTCCCTCACTGTGAACACAGTTTGTTTTACTGACTTGTACGTGGAGGTGGGTGGGGTTTACACTGAGCCTGGTGCAGTAAACTCCACCCGCCAGGCCCTGCAGCATCACTAAAACAAACACACTTGAAGTTTTCATCTCCTTCTGTCACTTTAATATTTCCTGTTTTTACCCCCCCCCTCTCCCTGCAGAAGTATTATGGTCTGGATAATAAGTGGGGTCACATTGAACAGTGGATGGTACGAACACGTCACATGACTCACTTCACATGTTTCATTTTGACTCACCTGAAATTAAAGTTTGTCACATTTTTTGGGACAAACTTTAGTGACAATAAGTTAATTATACCTCAATATTTTGATATTTTGAAAGTTAAGTTAAGTTAAAAACATCTTTGAAACATTATTTATCAAATTATATATTTCTGCTTTTTATTTTCAGGTTTTTAAATGTGTCTTGGAAAAAGTTTGTAAATTGTGTCCTGAGTCAGATGAGCTCAGGTGTGTCCTCAGCAGGGTGTGTCTTCATTGTTGCTATGGGGATGAAGGGCGTGTCTCCCGGTATGAAGACAGGTGGATGGACTACATTCCTGAGGTGGACACAGAGAGACGCCCCCTGCTGGAGGAGGCTCACACTGAACTCACCTGAGAAAATAATTACCGATTAATTTACTGTCAGTGTAACATTAGTTTTA